CTTCCTCAGCCGGCCCTCCTGCGGCCTGGGCTGGGGAGGGCAGCGGGGGCGGCGGGGTTATGTTTTGACTTATAACATTTCTTTACCTTCTGGATGGGTCACCCAGACAAAGTTAAAGATAAAAAGCGAACGCAGACATTAAACCTGACAGTGTTAAAGCAGCGCAGTGTTAGGACAAAACCAGAATCAAATCAGGAGCGGAAACGATGGCGCAGGACGCTCGACTGGCGCTGCAGCCAGAGCTCGGGAGGGGGTCTGCTTGCGGGGCCGGGGCGGTTCCGCACCTCAGCTCGGCGCGCTTCAGATTTGCTCTTCCGCCCCAGCCGGCCAACGGGGCGTTACGGACCTGCTGCTGCGGAAGGCTAAATCGGGGCCTTTGGCGTCGCTCCGATAATCCTCCGGAGCTCACGTGCATTCAAAACGTGGCCCTTGAAGGTCCTGAAAGACTAAGAGAACTTTTGGGCCTTTGGGGTAGTCCTGCAGCTTATTTACAGCTGGCAAAACAAGCCATCTTGAGAACAAGACAGAAGCCTCCGTATGCAGTCAGGGCAATCATCTGTGTTTGCACAGGCATATAAAGGACCATTTGATCTGCACTTCAAAGGGCATGAATGGAAGAGCAGCACAATTTGAATGCAGAAGCTCCATAATCAGTCACAAACGTTGAGATTATTGTTGGCTTGGTATTTTAAATAACTATCCCACTTTTCCTATAGTCTTGTACTGTGGACTTCCAGGCTGAAACTGGGTTTACAATGTAAGCTGTCAGAATAAAGGCAAAGGACATTTCCAGATACTATGGAGCGAGCTTTTTCTAAAACCCTTGTCCTTTTCACTTCCAGACGAATTTAGCAATGTTTTTGCTATCCATTGACACTACAGTATGTCTACCGTTTTGGTCTCAGGAGCTCCACAGAGAGGGTCTTTTGGGTTACAATGGTTTTCAACCCAGGAAGCCCGTTTTCAGGACCTGCACGGCTGTGCCAATGCCTTCAAGTGGCCTTTTAAGGCACCTGGTGCCTCTCAGCCTGTGCTTTCCATCTGCATCATTTGCATCACGGAGCCTCCTGCTGGCAGGAAGCCTCCAGCTTGGAGGAGTTTGGCCAGTGCCTCCAGCACGTGAAGCAGGATGGGATGACGGAACAGTGCTCAAAATAGCAAAATACCCAGTTCCCTCGCCCTTCGAGCAACCGGCAGCATGTTGCGAGGCTGGGCTCCATACCTCTGATTTCAGGCGCTCTGTCTCTATTTCTCCATCTTCAATTTGTTGCCTGAGTTGCTTGGCAACTGTTTTCTCTGTCTCCACAATCTGAAGTAAATGGAGGTACTTCTGCATTAAGGCTTCATGCTCTGTAGCAAGAGTCCCATAACTGTGACAAAGACAGAGGGAGCAGTTAAAAAGTTGCTCTCCTTCCTGCCAGCTCTGAAACCCCTTTCGGCCTGGCACTCCTCGCACCCTCAGCCTCACCACCTGCACAGCAACCATGGGCCCCCAGATCAAATTGTTCCCGCTGGGTAAATTATCTTGCATGTGCTAATTCAGTTCCAGCATCTTTGTTGATGAACTGCTGCCACTAAGAAGTTTTATGGGATCACAGAATAATTTTAGAATAAGTGGGTTGGAAGCAACCTTTGAGACCATCAAATGCAGCTCCTGACTCTGTGCAGGAATCCAAACAAAAGCAACTCTGTGAATGGATCTCTAGCCCTTCGTTGAGATAGCCAGCACATTGACTTCCTTCAGTGATTGGCTTTGCAGAGGTAGCTATACAGCAGGAACAGCTTCTCACCTTCAAGTGTGGCTAGAAAAGCCTGCATCTTGGAGGGCTGCTCTCTGCTCAGGTCATCCTGGGCTCAGCAGAGAAAGGCCTGGCTCGGAATAACGCCACTTCCTGTGTTTCATCTCAAAAACCATCTGGCTAAAGGAGCCCAACTGACACGGCCTGTCTAGGGTCCACAGCAGGATGGGGTTCTGCTGTGGCTGAGGACCTGCTGCCCACCAGCCGCTATTCATCTGGAATTTCTCATCCAGTATGCAAGATTTAAGGGCACCTGAAAACTATTTTCTTCATCCCAAAGAAGGGAGAAGCTTAGTTAAAGGGATCTCAGGGACCAAGGAAAGGGAGGGACGGAGGGAGGGAGATAAATATTGGTGAGTAGCAGTATAAGGCAGCTTTGCATATTTAATTAACATTCACATTTGGAATTTAAAGTACTGCAGTGATTACTGGAGCTCTGTAGGGATCTGAAGGTGCAGACTGCACATTCTGCTTTGTTGTGCTTCTCCTGCAAAGGGGCCCCATTTTATACGCCTAGAGGCTGAGCCAAAGTCCAACTATGTTCCAGTTGTTCAAGACAATCAGCCTATTGGCTGCTTGCGGTTGCTTGTAGACCCAAAGTCTACAAGCCCTGATGGGGAGAGCAAACAGGAGGAAGAGAGGCGCGACCAGAAAAGCCGAACATTTTGAGGCGCTGCTCGGCCACGAAAGGTGAAAAAGCCATTCCAAAATAGCCGCTGTTTGCCAAGAGTGCATCCTAAGAGCATAAGGGCCCGTTACGGGGAACTGAATGACAACGTTTTACTAAGTAAGCCGATGCTGCTGCAGGAGGAATACAAGGCAGCGAGTTTCTTAGGAGCAGAAACACAGGGAAAGCTAATAGAAGTTTGCCAGTGGGATTCACCGGCAGGGTTCCAGGGGTAGACCCCTGACCCACCGCCCCCAAAGTGACAATATATCCTTGGCTAATCTCTGAGGTTATGAGGAGAACAAGACTTAAGAAACGTAAGTGCAGATAAACATGACTTTGAAGTTGTACCTTAAATTTTTTGTACTAAATTTATATTACTACCTGAAAACAATCTGACATATTTTGAAACGTATAAAATTGTAGCAGTATCAACGGCGTGTACAGTAACCCACCACTCTGGTCAGAATGACGAAAGCAGTGTCTCGCTGTTGCACCGTTGGTCACCAGCTCTGCTCCTTGGGGCATCGGACTTTGTGACACAGAGGGAAAAGGGTGGGGCTGGCATCATGGCCCTCTTGCTGGCAGCATTTGGAGAAAAGACAGAGATTCGGAGCAGGGAGTGGCCATTCTTAAGCTCAGAGCAGAAGGTTTATCAGATCAAACAGTGGAGGTGCGGCAGCAAGAGCTGGCACAGACAGCAGCTCTTTATCAAAAAGAGACGAACCCAAAGAAGCAAGAGACAGCTAGGAGTAAGAGACACGAAAGGCAGGCCCTTTCGCTGAGCTGACAAAAACGTTGAGGCCCTCACCGAGAAACCAGACTCTGAACTGCCGAGCAAGAGGCCCTTGAAGGACAGGAGGGAAGCAGCTGTGCCCTGCCAGGAGAAGAGAGGACTGATGGTTGCTGGTTCATTACTACAAGGATGAAGACTTCCCAGATCCAAAATTATACTTTCTGCTATTTCATGTGAAGATAAACAATTCTGTCAAGAGCAGCTACAGCCGTTTCATGATGGACTTTGAACACCGAAGATGGAAGGTTAAAGTTCCAAGGGATCACATAATTTTCTCAATCATCCTTCCAGTAACTGGATTATCAAATACTTGGCAAGGACTGATAAAAATGGTGAAGTGTGGTGAACTTAAACAGGAGGACTTCAGACCAAACCCTCGAGAGGCAAAATCTACAGTGAGAAGGTCAATAAAGACTTATGAGCTGTAGATAAGTTTGCTGTAATGGCTCTATTAAAACACTCCACGAAAAACCAATTAATTATCTCTAATGCTAGAAGTATTTGCCTTACTATAAGAGGGCAAATATGATTTAATACTTGTAGCAGAGACCTGGTAAGATGATTCCCATAACTGGAATATAACAATCAAAGAATACTATTAATTAAAAAAGGACAGAAATAATAGAACGAGGGAAGACCTTTCCCTTTATATCAAAAGTATCCACATGTATTCAGATATCCAAGTGAATTAACTTAGCAATACTATAGATCGCATCAGGTGGAATAAAGAATAACAGCAAAGGAGAAAATACGGATTTCTTTTCAAAAGCAGATTGCAAATCTTTCTGAACAGCATGAAGTAGTAGTAACAGAAGACTTGATTTATCCTGACATCTGTTGGGACACCCTCTCAAAAGTTTTGAGACAGGCTAAGCATGGTCTTTCCACAATATTACTGATTGGTCTTGCAGACAACATTTTCCTTCAGAAGGTGAAGACAGGTGCCAGAGGATCAGCAGCACTTGACTTGATAAAATACAGTACTTAATTAAGGAAATGAAAATAGCAGGGACATTCTGGAAAAGTGACATTGGCACGCTGGAGTTCTTAATTGTAAGAGAAACAAAGGTTGACTATTGTCATATGCGTATTTTTGGACTTCAGGAAGACCAATTTTGATAAACTCAGAGCAATCTGGGTGACAACAAATGTTGAGTAGGTGTCCGTGATGATAGAGCTAATGAGAAAACCAGTGAGAGATCCCCCCAAAAGGAAATACTAAAACCACAATTGCAAACAATTGCATTAAGAAAAAAAGGAAGACACCAGAAAAAGCCAATATGGCTGTATGAAAAGCTTAATTAAGAAATATAAACAAAAGTGTACACAGGTAGTAGGTAGAAAGAGGATCAGATGGCCAAGGAAGAGAACACGCAGATAGTCCAAAACTGGAGAGACTCTGAAAGTTCAGAATGAACTGATGCTAAGAATGAGAAAAAGGTCTTTTTAAGATGTATTCAGAATACATATCAGCTACTCAGTGAAGATGGCAAAATGATAGCAGGTTAAAAAAAAAAGCCAAGACACTCAACTCCTATTTTGGTTTAATCTTCTCCAACAGGAAAGGATTTGTCTATGAAATGCAACCGTGGAAAAGCAGGATGAAGGGGTAGGATTGAAGCATGAGATTGATAGCAATCTGGTGGAAATGCTACTTATTTTAAATTTAATATAATTTTTTAGGAGGAGGAGATTAATTTCTTCCTAGGTCACTGAAGGAACTAGTGAAGTGTTTGACTGAACCTTTGAGAAATTCTGGGAAAAGGGTGAAGTGCCAGACAGTTGGAGGTGGACAAACGCCAGCCTTATCTTCAAAAAGGGGAATCCAGAGAACTAGATCTAACATCTGGGAACAGATCATAAAGTGATTAATTAGTAGACTATCAAATTCTATTATGTCTACTGCAGGCCCACAATATTCTGATCAGCAAATTATTAAATAGGTCTGGATGAAATTAGAATTTATGGAAAAGTGATTAAAAGTTCCTCATTAAACTGGAGGAAGGTATCAAATTCTGAGTCAGCATTTTTATGAAATGTTATGACCTGGATGAAGCAATAGAGGGGTAACACAAAATTGGGTGCAATAGCAGTACTTTAGAAGACAAACAGAATTCAAAATCATCTTGAGAGGTTAGAGAAATTAGATGGAAATAGCAAAATGAAATGTAACACAGACAACTTCAGGGTTTTCCACCTGGGAAGCAAAACTCAAATGAACAGGCATAGGACTGGGGGTACTTGGCTTAGTACAAGGACTTGTGAAAAAGACCTTGGAATAGTAGTTGGTTATAAACTGAACAGGAACCAGCAATGTGATGGGGTTGCTAAAAGGGCAAATGCAGTCACTGGAAGTACAGTTTCTAAATCATTTTGCTTTGGACAAATCCCACCTTAGGGACTGTGTGGGCATCACACTTTGAGAAGGATTCACTGAAATTAGTTCAACGAAAGGCAAGGGGGATGATCAGGGGCCTTTATCAGGGATAAAGTCTTGAGAAGAAAGACTGAAGGAGCTGGGTATGTTTACCTGAGACAGAAGACTGAACTGGTTTATGACAATACTCTCCAATATCAGAAATTTGTCACGGAGAAGGAGGTTAAGTCCAGTTCTTAATTGACTCAGACTGTCCAACACAGTATAATGGATTTAAATTGCAGAGAGGTAGGTCCAATGGAAAGTGTGCAAAAATCTTCTAACTTACTGTTAGATTTAGTGAAACCAATGACCCAAGAGGTGGTGGGCTCCCCTTTCCTGGAGGTATCTAAGAAGAATCTGGACAGCTGTCTACTTAATTTGGATTCCAGCACTCAACAGGGGCTTCGACTCCGTGGCCTCAAAGGCCCTTCCAGCTCTAGGATTCAACATGCACGCACCAAGTTACATTCACAGTCCGTAGCCGAATAAAAAGCAACTTCCAAGAGCTTGCAGAGACAGGATGAAATGAAGTTTGTGCAGCCCACACACACACTGATACATACACTTCTCCCCCATATACATGTACAGTCATGGACAGAGAAAAAAAAAACCCTTCCCACTACGTGTGGATACAAAATAAAGTCCCTCTTCCTTTCCAGGAAAACAGGTCTGTTTTCACATTCATTTCCAGTGAAAAATGGGAGCTCTTTTCAGTTGCATCCCTGCAGGAAGACGAGCAAAGCAGTCATGGGAATGAATGCAAGGATCCCAACCAGTGTGTGCGAGGCAAAGGGGAGAGTGAGAGGCGCAGTTCAGCAGAGGAACCAGACTCCACGCAGTGATGGGCCCCTTCCCTGGATGTCTTCAAGCAGAGATTGGCCAGGGATTCTTGCCCTGAGACATTAGCTCGGGCTGGAGGGTCTCAGTGCCCTTTGCAGCTCCAGGATTTTGTGAGTCTCTGAGACCATCATTGATCTGGCTACAAGATGAGGAACTGGCTAGTCACCTCACTGGGGGACCTGCTGTGGTTCTCTCCCATTTTCTCTGTTCCTTGCCAGTTTTGGATGTCAAGTCTCACCTTTCTGATGTCACACAACCAACAGGAAGTACTGTGAAGCCTCTAGACACACAGACTGGGAGGAGGTCCGGAAGGCAAAGGAAGAGTTCTTCTTTCACTGGGGTTGATTTACTTGGTCAGTCTTTTTGCTTCTGCTACGTACCACCTCCGACTTATCCCCTTCTCTGTCCTGGATAGAGAGCTTCTTTGCATGATGCCCTTTTATTATTTTCTTCAGCATCCATCACAGAAGGGGGAGGCAGGATGGATTTTGGCCTAGTTTCCCCCCTTTGGTGTATTTTGTATTTTATCATTTTTTTAAACTGGATGTTAATTAAGCCTGCTAATGACTTAAACCTCCAAGTCACATTACTTTTATTTGGTATTTTGACACTGAATTTCAGCCATGACACTGAGGACTCTGCAAAGCACACCTACCATCGGAGGGCAGCACACGCATGTCCCTTTGCTCCAGAGGCTACTGGCTCAACTAATGTGACACAAATAAGGCTGGTTTATACATCACACAAAGCCAGTGCAGGAATGGGTTTGATGTAGCATGGTATGTGCATTCAGCCAGTATGTGGCTTATTCAGTTAACCATGGCTAAGCAAACCACAGCATCGTGCAATGGACAAACTCAGTAGAAAGTGACGGGATTAAAAATCACCAAGCTGCATTAAAGCTGGCTAAGAAACTGAGACCGGAAGAAGAGTCTTGAGGATGGATCTGACTACTGGTCCATCAAGGTGGTCACTCTGTTCCCACCATGGGCAGCCGGGTTCCTGTGGGAGCATGGCACTTACAGACCATCTGGTGCTAGAGATAATCTATGACCAGACCAGGGACTATTAATAGCCTGTGCTGTCTGGGGAGGCCAAACATTAGATTATTATTTTGCTTGATTTTGAATGTTTTTTATTTTTATTGATGTATGCTGTCTAGATTCATAAATGGTCAGCTGGGCAGCTTTCTAAATCTGTTAAATAAATAGCAAACTGCTGTTATTATTTCCTAGCACGCTACCGGAGTCTGCCTTCCTGAAACTTAAATTTGTTATTCCCTGTCCCACAGTCTAGAACAAAGCCATGCTGACGTTCAGAAATTGCATCATGGTTTTCAAGGTGCTTTCAGGACAATCTCCTAAACACCGACTCTAGAAGGTACCATTGTCAGCCTGGTCTGTGGTTCCCTGGATCCTCAGTTTCCCCTTTCTGGAAGACTCCTCCAGTTGTCTGGCACTTCCTCTGTTCTCCAGGATTTTTCAAAGAAAATGTGAAGGGTCCAACTGGAGCATCAGATGGCTTCTTCAGTAGTATTCTAGGATGCTATTTAACTGGTCCAGAGATTTAAAGAAAATAGGTATTCCCAGGCCATATTTCTGACAGTTTCAAATTTCAGTCCTGCTCCTTCATTCTGCTCTTCATCATCGCTTTGTGGGACACATATATTCTTCTTGTTGGAGAATACTGAGCTAACAATTTGCCAGTAAGAGGTGAATTTTAGGAGGAACATTCTTCTTCGCAACATTTTAGGAGGGATTAAGACAGAATTTACTTTTCATGGGTGGTATCAATTTAACTTGAGGTCAAAGGCATTTTCAGGATATTTGTCAAAGGATGCAAGTTGTCAATTGTAATATTCAAAAACTCCGGAGCCTCAAACTTCATTCCCTCTTTATTTTAATTCTTGATTTAAAAGTCCAGGAAAACAAGCAGCATATTTAAAGGAAGACAATAAAATCAATATGCAAATGTCAAGGATGAAGTTTTATCTTTGATTGTAGCATCTGGCAGCTTCCCATGGCCACAAGGGCAGAAGGAAAAAAATCTGAAACACCCAAGCAGCTGTACCTAAATTTGGTACCTTCTGGGAATTAGCTACAAAAAAGCACCCCAAATCCTGCACCAATTCCACACAGCATATAATCTCTGTGACAAAGAAAAATGTATCAATAGTGCATAAAATATTTGATGTTGTTTTTTGCACTTCTGATGGCTAGAGGGGAGTTCTTCGTAGAGAAATGAAATCTTACTTCCTGAATCACTTGAATCCTTTAAATTGGCCCCCTTGGTTCTGGCCTTACTGGGCATTAGCCATCTCCTTTAAGCTTCCAGGGGCTTTCACTTACATCAATCAGTGGAGGAAGAAAATATTGATATTATATTTGAAACATGAAGTCCAGAATATGGCTTTTAAAAATAGAACCAAATGCTGAAATTCTCTGCAAATGACATTCTGTGCTTCTGTTGTGCATTGTGAAGTGGAAAGTGCACAAGTTCAAGAGGGCAGCTTGGAGACTTCCCACATGATCCCAGAGTTAAGGAGCCATTTATCCACTGAGTGTAATTGCCTTGTCATGAGGGAAGCCCAAATTAAAGCCTCCCCCCAGAATGTGTCCAGCCTCTGCTTGAAAGCAGCCAATAAACTGCCAGCCATTCAGATCTCTGTCTTCTGAACCATTCAGAACCAGCTCTCTGTGCTCAGGTGTGTGTGTGTGTGTGAGAGAGAGAGAGAGAGAGAGAATGGTTCCCAAGCATGCCCGGCTCCCTCCAGTATCTGAAGAGGGCGGCCATAGCTCCGCTTCCCTTCCCAAGGAGAAACACGCCTGACCCCTTCCATTTCTCTTCCCAGGACAATCTCTAGCCTTTGTTCTAATCATCCTCTGCTACATTTGAGTCATCCTTAAAACATTGAGAATATGGGGGCCCATTCCATCATACGGCCCTCCAGCGTGTTGAGGATGAGTTTCTAGCCAGCTGTGTGTCCGCTTAATTGTCAGCCTCTGTGGCCATGCTGAATTAGCTTGCTAATTAAGTTTGTCAACAGTTTGGTCGTACTAAGATATATTATGTCAATAGCATTCCCAACATCTCCTAAAGGGGCTATCTGAATGCAGAAATTCCCAACAGTCACATTCCAGGACATTTGTGTTTCTCCTCTCTAGCTTTTAGGGAAACCTACAACCCTCTTGGACTTGAGCACATCGTGCCTTCCTGCTGGAAAGCCAAGCATCAACAGTCCCTGACCTGAACTAGCGAAAGGCCTTGAAAACGCTGTTACTCATTACGGATTTATTTGAAAAGTTTAGATGATCATGGCTGTGCTTGGTTGGCTCTTAGGAGGGATTAGACCCAGAATAATACAGTAGCTCCATACACAAACTGGGTTTACGTGTCACCCCAAGCTATAATTTGCCTGGTTTTGGGTAACACATTGAATGAGTCTGGCTAAACTATGGTTTATGACTAAGCAAAATATGTGAACCCATCTGATGATGGCTTTACTCACCAAATCCTAGTTAAACTTACAATGGCTGATGTTGTGGGATCCTGATCCCTGAAAATTTAAACTCAAGAATTATAGAGATGTTCCCAGGGTGGCTTTGGGCCAATTTCTCCCTTGCCATCCAGGTGGCCTCAGAGGGGCTGGTTCTGGGCATCAGAGGAAGGAGGATCCTTATGGAAGCCCCGCTTGGACCCTGGGATAACAGGACGGTGCGAGGCTGCCTCTGGCCCAGACCTTCTCCTCCAGCCGCTTTTCCTCATATTCAGCATGCCAGAAGTCACGATGTTGGCGGCCGACGCTGGGGGAGAGATTCCTGCCAGAGGTCCTTACCTGGCATGACTAATAGCTGCTACCCATTCATCACAGTCCTTGGCATCCTCGGTCCTTAGCTCCAGAGTTTTCTGGTTCTCATGATTGAAGTTAACCGTAAAATAATGCTATAAAAATAAAGAGAAATGGTCCTACTGTTATTTATTTATTTCTACATTGATACTGCCCCATCTTTTTTTTGCATAAAGGCTTAAGGTGGCTTAAAATAATTTAAAATGTATAGAACGTAACAGTAAAATCAATGCAATCAAAATCAGAACTAAAATGAATATAATCAAATGTTTATAATCAGTTGCAAGAGAATATATAAAACTGGCATAAAAAGCAGGGCCTTTAGTATCGTGCCCATCTCACCAGGTCCCTCCTTCTTCATGGAGGACCCCCTGGAGAATCCTGGAGGTTGTATTTGCTCTGCCAAGCTGGAGCTCCCTCCTGCCACTACAGGGACCACCACTGGCTGCCTCAGGCTGCCCTGGGCCCCCAGCCCCAGTTGTGGGGTTCCCCATATGAGGCCAGTAATTGCAGCACTGCATCTTGACCTCTCCCCTTCTTTGTGGGGGGAGAGGTCATCCTGCAGTTTCAACAGGACAAAGTAGCTCGTTCTGGAGGCAGAGGTGATACCAGCTGCCTTGGCTTTGGGGGCTGAGGAAGTGATGCCTCTTCTGCAACTATCATGACTTCTAAAGAACTGCCTTCCATGTTAAGAGGATGAGTGTTGGCCCCCTGAAGTAGGCCAGGTGAGGAAACAAACACCACATGAACTACTGGAAGTATAGAGAGTATCTTAAAAGCCTGACAGAGTTTCTCTCTCCAAAGAGAGTCAAGGTGGGGCAATCTTGATCTCCTTCCTTCCTCAGCCCCTCCTATTTTTCTGGGGTAAGCTGATATTTTTTGACAGCTGTTGTGTACCTTCGCCAAATCCATCTCCACACTGCTCTATAAGCAGCACCGAGATAGGGAGGCAGGCCTGAGGAAGACCCCGGGGACAGTTGCCCTACGTCCTGACCCTGAACAACCCCACAGTATTGGCCATTGGATCCTGGAGGCTGCGACCCTTTGACTCCGGGTATTGCTCACACCTCAGATGCCAGACTGCTTTCATGAACTGCTAACAGTTGCACCCCCCTACTCCCACCTTTGGCTCGATACTCTGGTCACGAAATGACACCAACCCATGTTTTCCAATCAGCAGCCCCTCTCCTAGTAAAGCTGTCACCCTTGTGCTCTAGAAAGAAGCTGTTAGGCAAGGTGGGGTGGTTGAAAGAGGACCCCTAGCCTGGCAAAGAAGGAGGACACCCATAAGAAGCCAAATGATAATCCCTGGTGTCTTTTCTAAGTGGCTATGAAACTCTAAAGGTAGCCAAAGATTGTTGGAGCCTGATAAAATGATGAAAGACCTAGCAGGAGTTCATCTGCACAGGAATATCTCTAAGCCATAAATCCTTCCTGGGCAAGTCCTTTTGAAGAAGCAGGGCTTGCTATTAACCCCTTTTGCAATCTTTTGCTCATGCCAAGAGGAGAGCTGCAGAACGATCAAGCCACCTGGACTATGCTACCATTAGATGGATACTGAACAGGATGGAAAATCATCCCCATCAAGCTGGAAGAAAGTGTCAGGTGGCTGTGCCCCAGGCCCTGGGCTGTTCAACCTAGTGAGAAAATATGATGATCTAATTTGTATATGACACAAAGATGGAGGGATAGCAAATACCTTGGAGGACAGTATCAAGATTCAGGGGGATCTTGAAAGCTAGAACAATGGTCAGAAACCAACAAGTGAATTTCAACTGAGATAAAGTAAACTTACTTCTGGATAGGAAAAATCAAGGGCCTGAGTATAGGTTAAAGAAAATCATAGAAGGCAACAATACTTACAGAAAGGATCCTAAGCTGAATATGAGCTAACTGTGTGATGTAGCTGTGAAAACCAACCAACCAACCCACCCCCAGATGCAATCCTGGACTGCATCAGCAAAAATACAGCATAACAATCAAGAGAAGTCATAATTTTTCTCTATTCTATATTGGTCACTGAGAATTTTCATTGAGAAATTGGTGCAAGTCAGAGAAAAGCAACAAGGGACTTGGAAGGAACCATTTATGGAATGATTGGAGGGCATGGTTAGGCCTCGCCTGGAGAATAGAAGACTTTGGGGAAATACGATGTCTGAAGAGCTGTCCCCTGAAGGACTCCAGATAGAACAGAATAGTTCAAAGTTGTTCCAGGAGGTAGGACCAGAAACCATGGGCTGAAATTACAAGGAAATGGATTTTGGTTGAACATAAGGGAAGACTTTCCTAACGTTAAAAGCTTTTACACCACGGAAGAGGCTGCCCTAAGTGGTGTTGGAGTCTCTGGGGTCCAGCGTGCTATAGAGCTGATTCCCCCGTGGGCAGGGGGTCAGGCTGTATCATAAGAATATAGAATGAAAGGGCTGAAAGGGAACTTGGGGGTGATTTACTTGAACTGCCTGCTCTGGATCTCCAGAATCTCTTCTAGCACATTATCTTATTCTATGGTTCTGTAATGCATTAGCGGCTGTATTGTGTAATGCATAGTGTCATTAAGATAGGTTAGTTGAAAATCTGTTGACCTGTAAACTGCAGTTCTAGCACTGAATACCAAGTGATCATGTGATTGCACTGTATGCCATCAGCCTTGAATAGTCTTTAATAAATAGCTTTGATTGGTTATTAATTATTGTTTTAATTCTAGACTTCACGAACATGTCAGCCTGTTGAATAAGCCCTGGTGTTCGATCCCAGAAGAATGGGGTGGTGGGAGGCCCCAGCTTGTTTCAGGCTGCTGTGTCTAGAGTTGAGCAGACTCAGGACAGGCTATTTTTAGCTTCCTTTGGCATTTATTCTTGTTGTGTTAATTTTCATCAGGGAAGCTTCTAGCCCAGAAAAAGAGTTCTTGCAGTTCATTTGCTCTCCTTTTCTACAGTCTCCTAGGAAACAAGGAATGTTCTGCACGGCCACAGATCGAATCGATTAACTGGGGAAACAAGCAAGGAAGCCGTTCGCTGCCCCCCTCCTGCTTCCATTGCTCTAATGAGAGGAGACCCTGAAACACAACCTGGGAGAAAGACCTGGCGTGCAGAGGTCGACCTCAGCTCCAACAGTGACTGGGGCCCAGGGCTACCAGGCTGTGGGCGCAGGGCCTCTCTTGCCAGCCTGTTGCCCACTCTGTGCAATTGCTCCACCTGGCACTGCTCACCCCACATTCCCGAGCTCCTAAATATGCAGAACAGGACCGTTGGCGCCTTTGCCAAAAGAGGTCAAGAGGTTGGAGGCACCTGCGAAGGATGCTTGTGGGATCTGAATCCAAAGCAGCCCACTGCTGTGGCCCTGCTGGCATCACACAGGGGACCCAGAGTGGGATTTTCACCCAACAGCAGGTGCTTGGGTTGCCTGGCTTGGAAGGACTTTCCTGTTCCATGGTGCTCGGACCAGTCGACAGGTCCCGAGGAGCCCTCTGCCTTTTCCTCCCCAGTTCGTTGTGTTGTGTGCTGAGAAAGCAGCCACAGAAGGCACAACGGAGAAAGAGAAGAGCAGGAGCAGGACCTTCCCTTTGCCAGCCCGAGAAATACTGCCTAGATCAACACAAAGAGGGCAGGACCTTTACGTGGCCCTTTCTTGTTGACTCTGCCTTCCAAGTCGGTTATTGGCCAAAGTGAAGCCGGTGACGGAGAGAGAGAGAGAGCTATGCCAAAGAGCTCCCTGGAAGCGTGCCAGGTCATGCCAATGGCCCTCGTGATGCTGATCATGCCAGCCTTATTCCTGCCAGGCTTTTGCACCGGGGAGCTTCTAATCGCCTCCTCCTCCCCCCCCCCCCCCCCCC